ACCCATTACCAATATTAAGCAGGGGTTAATAAAAAGGACTAAAAGCAAAAGTAAACATGTACTTTGCAAATAAATGAAACAGGTAATACTAACAGTCTTTAGCACGATAGCAGACCTCATTAAATCTTCTCTTTTGCATGTAAGCACTTGCTGAATTTGACCATGTATCAGCAACGTTAAGTCGAAGCTCGATTGCAATCATATAGTACTGAATGACAACATCAATATCGCCTTTTTCCTTCCAAGCATTTGCCATGTTTCCATAACTCTTAGCAAAACGAGTCATTTTTGGCAGTGCACATGTCATAATCATGCAACATTGGTGAGCTAGGGCCAACTGTATATCTTCATTAACTTCAAGTGAATCATATCCTTTGTGAGGCACAATACCAAGGGAAGAAGCATGCTCCTGTTTGGCCCCATAAACGGCAGCTTCTTCAAGTTGTAAGAGGAAGAGCCTGACGACCCAGAAATGCTGGTGTTGTTCAGAAAACTACTTCTTCGATCCTTGCAAGCAGGGCTAGAATCTCGTTCCTGTGGGCAGCAAGTGTGGAATCCAAACGTTCACGGAAGCTGTGTACGCGAGTGAGAGCACGCTCCGCCATTTCTTTGAACTTGAACTTTTGAGAACAAGAACCAAGGAAGAAGAAGAAGAAGATTACTAATGAGAATAGTAATACAAGGAACCAGAAAATTCAATGAACGCAAAATAATAATAATAATCAAAGGATCCAATGAAATGGATCAGAACCAATAAATAAATACATAAATCAAATGCAACTTTCCAAAGAGGCAAAAAAAATTTCGACCCCTCATTTCTTTTCCCCGTGGTTCCTCGTCCCCCGGCATTTTATAAATAATATATATATAGGAAGAAGAAATGAGATTTGGTTTGAATTAGTGGGGGTAGTGGCCGGTCATGGTAGAAGGGGAAAAGAATGGTTGTTGGGTAGTGTTTGAGTGGGTGAGGTAATGGTGGGGTAGTATATGGGGCTTACAAAAAATAATAATAATAATAATAATAAATAATATAATAAAATATTTTTTTTGTAGACTCGGATAAAATCGGGTGTCTACAACGTGATAGTTAATAAAATTGGTATAATTACACATTTGATCTTTGATATTTGTACATTCTTTCAATTTAGTCTTAATTTAAATTAATAAATTTAATCCTCTAATTATATGAGGACACGTCTCATCATATGATTAGAGAACTTTTCGCTTATAATTTTAATTAATTTAATATAATATTTTTCAACCAGATGATGACACGTGTCACTATCTTGTTAAAGGAAAAGTGTGGGGATTGAACCTAAGTATTGTTGCATCAAGGAGGAAAAGCAAACATTACCAATAATCCAAGCCTTCATTTATTTTTAAGCTTACATAATTTTGTACAAACCTGCTATGGCTACTAAAAAAATAAAGAAAGAAAACTACTTATTTAGGGACTTAAATCTAAACAAATTATATAATTAGGACACTCTAATCATAAATTAATACAAAATTAAAAATAAATTTAATATTTTTTACATATTTAGACAAAAAATTAATATTTTTTTGTCATAATTATAATTTAATGACTTTAACTTTTACATCTGAGTTAAAAAATATGTTGATTCTATTAAACAAATTTTAAATTCAAAATTTAATTTTTTTTAAGTTTTACTTTTGAGTTAAAGAAATAATTTTAAAAATGAAAATTTTAACTCAAAAGTTAAAGTAATATTATTCGACTCAAATATAAAAATTAAAATTATTAAATTATAATTATGAAAAAGAAAAAGATATTAAATTTTGTCTTAAAATGTAAAAGTCAAAATATTAATTTGTGATTAGAGTGCCCTAATCATATAGTTTGCTTAGATTTAAGTCTCTAAATAAGTATTTTATTTCTTTATTTTTTGTAGTAGCCACAATAGGTTTTATACAAAAATATGTATGCCTAATCACAAATGAAGGTTTGGCTTAGTGATAATGCTTGCTTTTCCTCCTCTATGCAGCAATACATGGATTCAAACCTCACCCCTCTCAACTTGATGAAGCTTGTTTTTCCTTTAATCTTATGATGAGAAGTGTCACCAGGTTGGAAAAAATGTTATATTAAATAAATTAAAATTATATAAAAAGCTCTCCAATTATAATTATATAAAAAAGCTCTTCAATTATATGATGACACATGTCGTCATATAATTAGAAGATTAAATTTATTAAATTAAATTAAGATTAAATTAAAAAATATATAAATATTAAGGATTAAATGTATAATTATACAAATTTTATTAACTGTCACATCATACTTTTGTAAATGTTAACAGCTAGTGGTCAGATTGACAAGAATTTAAAAATGATATTCGAAATAAAAAGAAGCTATAGTTAGGTGGTCTCTGGTATAGTTTACCCTTAATTTTTCTTATATAAATTCATCTGAATCGCACCCTTCGTCTTTAAGGAAACAGATTTCAATAGGGAGTATTTTTTCTTCTCTGTTGTTGGGTTCAATTTAATTCCTCACTTTATTTTTCCCGATCTTAAACATAATCCCTCTTTTTCGTCTATCGTAAATCCTAATAATTTCATCTTCCGTTGGGTTTTCATGGAGGAAATCAATTGGGATACCCTCTTCCTCGAGGCTGACTTTCCCGATTTCGGAGATATCTTACAGAATGACCAGGGACCGGAAACTGAAGCGTCTCCTCAACCCTTTTCGACCGAGAATCGCGATCTAGAACAGGCAGTGTCTTCATGGATGGGGGAGATTGAGAAGGCTTTGATGGAGGATGATCATTCTCTCGATAGGGCTGAGACTCAACCTGCCTCCGATGATGATTTCTTCGCCGATTTACTGGCTGATTCACCTCCTAGTGGCGGCGGTGGCGTTGCCGTAGAAGGCGTTGATTTCCGCAAACAAAACCAGGCCCACACCGACGCCGATAAAGATGATCCCGTTGTTAAGAAACAGAGAAGGTATAAATTGATATTCCCGATTTATAATTTTTGTCTATTGTTGACTAAAATTGTATTTTATTTAAATTTGATTTGTTGCATGTCGAATTTGAAGTACAAGTGTAATCGCTTACGTAAGAAACTCGAGCTCAATAGAGTTTTTTCATTTAAAGCTGTATTGATCTTCCCAATCTATTATCGTTCTCTATTTTTCACTAGAATTGTATTTCTTTCAAATTTATTAGTTGCATGTCTAATTTGAAGTAAGTGGTGTAGTCATTTACTTAAGAAACTTTAGTTTTACTGAAATCAACTCAATTGAATTGTACTTTTAAAGCTTGAGTTTGATTTGAAATGAACATCAAATTGCTCAAGCGTAAGCTTTCATCTTCAAAAACAGAATCTTGATTTTCATTGTTGAGTTCAAACTCGATATAAATTTTAAATTGGTATTTTTCGATACTAATTAAAAGTAAGTTAAATATTAAAAATGAAAAAGTTTGATTAGTCTCCAACCTTTACGAAGCTACTCGAGTCAAGTATTAAGATACATTAATTCAACTTGCATGGGAGCTCAACCTTGATTTGATTATGATCAAATTCGTTTGATTGTGATTTTTTACCCAATAAGAAGTGAACTTGGTTTCCATGCTCAAGTTCAATCTCCATTTTTATATTAGAACTCAAGTCAAAATTCAGATTTCTGAACACTAATTAGAAATAAATAATAAAAAACTAAATTAGGCGCAAGTAGTTTGTGAACAGAGTTGTCTTTTTTAAACCCAAATTGGAAGATAAGGGACTGCTTTTAATGCAATTGATTGATCTGAATGGTTTCTTTTTAGGCAGTTGAGAAACAGAGATGCAGCGGTGAGATCAAGGGAGAGGAAGAAGATTTATGTCAAGGATCTTGAGATGAAGAGTAGGTATTTGGAAGGGGAATGCAGGAGGCTGAGCCATATGCTTCAGTTCTTCATTGCTGAGAATCAAGCTCTTCGTCTTACTTTGCATAAGGGTGGCACATTTGATGCGTCCTCAGGCAAGCAGGAGTCTGCTGTGCTCTTGTTGGGTATGTTATGAGTCTCTATACCATCTCTCTTTGCATTCGTACTCTTCTGTTTAATATTACACTGAGAAGAAAGCACTTTTTGTCTTCACAAATGGATTATGTTACTGGGCTCCAGTTTTAATGTCCTATATGAAGTGTGCATTCATGTGTACGTTACTGGACTGCTTGTCTTCGTTTAAAATTACTGGACTCGGGGTTTTAATTCTAATATGATATGTGTTCAAGGGGCATATGCTCATGTTTGGATATGCATTTTTCGGGTATTTCAAAAAAAAAAGAAGAGCTGTTTAGCAAACAGTACTTGTTTTTGGCCTTTGCAAGTATGTTGTTCTAGTTGTATTCTTCTAGATCGAAGTCGTAATGGAATTGGCATCAAGCTTATTAGTGAAGTATAGATGTCAAGAGGGCTGTTTTGCGGCTTATTGTACTTCTGATCCTCTAAAGATTAGTGACTTAATAATCTGCCCGGGAGTGGGAGAACTCGATGCTTTTCGTATTCTTTGTTACTTATTAGGACACTGTTGCTATTAATTATGGTTCATTCTTTTAAGCCTGTTGAACAGTTATATCATTGTTTGCTTTTGTAGAATCCCTGCTGTTGGGTTCCCTGCTTTGGTTCCTGGGCATCATGTGCCTCTTCGCCCTGCCGACACTGCCCAAGTCAGTTCCACTGGCAAACGAAGAAACACGAAGTCCCGAAAGAGTGGCTCCAAGAGGGGTAGAGAGTAACCCGGTCAGAACAACTTTTATGAAAAGTAGGAGATGCAAGGCATCAAGGGAAAAGCTGAAAGAAATTTATTGTTTTTCTGGGAATTTTAGTTCCATTTTAGGTTTTTAATTTGATGACGTGTGGGTCTTATTGTGTTATAATGACATTTGTGGGTTCATAATAAGCACTTTTCCATCTTTGTTTTTGGATTTAAAACTCTTTTGTTGTATATTTAATTTGTTTGGATAACTATAAATGTACAAGTTCTTTTAATTAAGCTTTAAAAAAATCAAAATAATACTTCTCTATTCATTTTCAATGGAAGATCTGGCCATCTAGGTACATCTTCAAAGGTTCATCAACCAAGGATTAAACAAGGAGAATTTGCAACATTCATCGACAAGACAAGCCGAATGATAATGTCCTAATTCTACAACCATGCCTAATTCTACAGCCATGCCTAATTCTACAGCCATGCCGGTGAACAATAATTCATGCCTAAATAAGGGTAATGATAAGGAAATCCGTCAGAAAAGCACCTAGGCTCCCCGTGCTACATGTCTCGGTTGCTCCTCTTCAGATCCTCATTTTCATCGATAAGAGAATCGATCCTTGAATGCAGCACTCGGTTGCTCCTCTTCAGATCCTCATCTTCGTCGATAAGAGAATCGATCGAGTGCTGCTCCTCTTCAGATCCTCATCTTCGTCGATAAGAGAATCGATCCTTGAATGTAGAATGCTGATCATAGTTCGAGCACTCATCAATTCAAGCTTCAACGTCTCCCTCTCAAAGGAAATCTTACAGACCTCGCTTTGCAGTTCGTTGATAAGTTTCATGCAGTCAGGTGGCACAACGGAATCTAGACTACTCGTAATGTTTTTTGGCGGAAGAGGAGAACAAGAATTCTCTTTCGGTTCTATCAACGAAAATTCCAAGAGTGCAGAAGCCGCCGTTTTTGTTGTGGATGATGGAGACATCGCGGTTGTTGTAGCTGAACAATGACCTTGAGTAATTCTAGTAGAATCCTCAGAAATATTTGCATGGTTCGGAACTGAATCCGTATGCCGCCTTCTCTTGTTTCGGGATAGAGGTAAAGGTGATTCTCGATTATGGTTGCATAGTGGCAGGCAATCATCTGATCTATCTATAGGTGACAAAGTACGGTCATCCGTTCTCTCATTCGGCAACTCTCTCAGAACTTCATCACTAGGCGGAGCATCCTCGTCCAGATATTTAATGTCCTGCCACCATAAAACAGAGTTCAGAAGCAATTCTTCAATCAAGGCATAAGAATAAGAGGCACATAACATTCAGGTAATATAACAGTAGCATCTGACATGAAGCATTAAAAACCATAGAGATAACAACTAAATCAAGAGCAATGTTATGTTAGTTGGACTTGAGTTTGCCAGATATCAGTATGTGTTCGGACGAACATTCAATCTTAGTTTTAAAAGGTGCAAGGCACACTGAGGGGCAAAGGGTAACTAAAGCCTAGGCGCAGGCGACGCATACTTTTATACTAAAAGGTTTATAAATCCTTTCTAGATCATATCCAAACTCATTACCTACCTATTCACTCATGAAGCATTTAATCTCTTCCTAATACTATTCCTTCACCATTGCTTGTCCCCTCCTCAAGAGTCGAGACCTATTTCTACCATTCACAACACCCATTGCTTGTCCCACGGACTAATCTGTTAGGAGATTGTTGCAGCCCTTATTTTTCTTGTTGGATCAAACCAATAGTGTTGATCTGCCTAATCAAGGCTATATAAAGCTAGTTTTGCTTAGTTTTACAGCAGCCGACATCCTTTTTTCGTCTATTGATATAGAGCTGAATTCATACATTATACAGCAAGGAAATGTGTACAGTCTCCTCGCCTGGATGATTGGATCAACTCCAGTCATTAATGTGGCTCGTGTATTCGCACACCACTGCTGGATTCATACATTATACAACAAGGAAATGTATGCAGTCTCTTCGCCTGGATCGACGCCTTAACTCCTCCATTAATGTGGCTCGTGTATTCACACATCATTGTTTCTTAATAAATCTATGGCTTAAGGGCTACTTTTGCCCGGCAAAAGGGTCACTGTTACCCTGTAGTAAACCCAATTTATCATGTCTCCTTTTTATTCTTCCACTGTATAATCTCCTTATATTTTGATTCTTTGTTGTATAAACTCTTGATGATCTTCAGTAGCTGACTAGTTTTTATCCCTTATCCCTGAGGTGCATGCTTCTTGTGCCTATAGAAAAGCCCACGAAGCGCATGCCTGGGAGGGCTTCCCGTTTTGCACTTCGCCTACCTCTCCAAAGGGACTTTTCTCCGCACCCACCAACGCCTTGCAACTTGGGCACGCTTCTGAAAATTAAGCATTCAATTATTCCTAAGCTTGTCCATTTATTTAGAGGGTTCTTTAACCATCATGACATCCACTATGTTAATAATTGTAGATATTCCGGCCGGAATCAAATGTTACCACATAGGCCTGAGGTTCTTCATTTTTTATAATTACCCATGTCCGAGACCCATGTTTGACAACTACCGGAACAAGGGGTTATAATCTTCCAAACACATCCGTGTGCAATACTCACATCAGTTGCATAGCTATAAAATATACTTACAGAACTATATACCTTGCTTTTATAGAACTATCCTTGTAAATCAGAGCTCAGCAGGCAATCTCGCCATATTACTCGCCATCATCTTTCTAAACAAATAAAGGGATAAACGAAACAGTTCTTTGGCCTGGAATTTTCCAATTCAATTAAAATGTCAAATAAGTCTAGAAATACTCGGTTATTTGTTGAGGATTTAGGGTTTAAAATGTTAAATTTTTATATAAAACTATAAAACATGTGAAGTCATCAAAGTGAGGATCTAAAGGAAAATTCAGAGCTATCCTTATAGAACTATATAACTTGCTTTTATAGAACTATCCTTGTAAATCAGAGCTCAGCAGGCAATCTCGCCATATTACTCGCCATCATCTTTGTAAACAAATAAAGGGTTAAACGAAACAGTTCTTTGGCCTGGAATTTTCTAATTCAATTAAAATGTCAAATAAGTCTAGAAATACTCGGTTATTTGTTGAGGATTTAGGGTTTAAAATGTTAAATTTTTATATAATACTATAAAACATGTGAAGTCATCAAAGTGAGGATCTAAAGGAAAATTCAACACTTCAAAAAACATGAACAGCTACAATGTAGTCAATTATTATAATAATGCCATAGCAAGAAAGATAAGGCACAAACCTGCTCGGAACCGATCCTTTGAACATTGTTTCTTTCAGTCGCAGCATTCTGAGCAGCTGCTGCATCATTGCCGGCTATTGAATCATTCACAGTTACATCATCATCCTTGGTGTCTACTCCCGGAATCAAAATGGCTGAATCATCATCCCATTCTGCCTCAATGAAAGGTGCGTAACGGTTTCCATTCGGTGGTCCAATATTATTCTTGTGAATTACTCTACATAGCACATACCCTACACCACCAAAAAGAGAGGAAACCAAAAAAAAATCTTATTAGTTTATGATAGTAAAATCGAAAGTTTGTTTATAGAGAAAATTGCAGGACTTCTAAACATAAGGGTTAAAATAATAATAAACCATGAAAATAAAAACGCTAATAACCCTACAGGTTCGTCCATCCTTTAGTATAATCAGATCAATGCAGCATAATACCTAAGGCACAACACAACATACTAATCTATAAACTATTTCGTATCAAAATTTTATTTCATCATCCAAATTATAGGTGAAACACGAGGCAACTGTTGTTGTACATGAAAGCTTAATCTATAACCACAACATAAACACTTGGAGCTATGCATAACAGATCTCATTCAACACAAGCTCAATTTTAATGGTCTCAAACATGCAATGCTCCAGTTCTTGCCAAGTATTTCAAGCTAAAATTCTATATCTTTTGTCATCCAAAATATTGTCGAAATGTGGTGCAAAAGTTAGCATACAAAATAACTTAAATCCATAACATTAATATTAGAAGTCACGATGATCATCATTCACCATTAATATCAAATTAAATAGTTTCAAACCTGCAATGCTCCAATCCTTTCCAACTCTTCTTCAACAAGCCGGTATTCATGCATAACCCAATTGGTTCGCAATCCATCCGGAGCTTTCCCGCTATGAAAGACTAATGTCTTCTTCATCCCGATAACCTTCGAATTGTGACGGACCTCTCTATCTTTACCCGTGGTCTTCCAATACCCTTGCTTTGTAGCCCTATTCATTCTTCCCCCATTTCCATACTTCTTATCCAATGAACTGAAGAAATACCATTCCTGGTCTCTGGTTTTCAATCTTGATTTGTCTGAAAAACAAAGGCAATATACTTTAGCAACATAAATTGAAATTTAAGTAAAAATCAACAAAAGAGTATCATGATAATAGAAAAGTTATTATAAAAATATAAGATGCAGAAAAAAAAATCAAAAATACTAATTAGACAAGGAATATTAATATATATGGTTAATAAAAGAAAATTATTTCATGATATTATTGAATTTTCAGTTCAGAAATCTACCAGAAATAAATTTTAATAACTAAACTGAAAGATAAAATTAAAGTTGAACTTCTAAATTTTAGAACTAAAATTGAAAAATAAAAATAACCTGACAGAGTCCAAGGTTCATGATTGTAAATATCAACTTCACCGATTGCCTTAAATCTGACAGACTTGTTGATAACTTTTCTTTTCAAATAATAACTAGCCAATTCTTCATCGGTTGGGTGGAATCGAAATCCAGGTGCTAAAGCCGTCGCTGAACTGTTAGTCTTCGCCGCCGCCGCCGCCGCCGGTCTTTGATCTGGCGCTAAAGAATTTTGACGAGACATAGAGAGATACTAGTTTGGGGGAAACATAAAATACAAAAATAGGACGTTTCTGTGGGTGATGTTAATATAAATAGTTGAACGATTTCAAATAAATAAATATTCGGTTTTTTGATTGATGGTCAAGGAATAGAGTTCCTTCGGTTGCAAGAAATTTCACTTACTTTATAATTTGTTGGCCAAAGCGTTTAAATAAGGGTAAAGTATATAAATTGTCCCCTAACTTTTAGGATACTTGCATTTTGATCACCTAACTTTTGAAACTTGCAATACAGTCATCGAACTTTTAATTCGTTTTCAATAAGGTTCTTGCTGATACCTTCTGTTAGTTAAGGCTGACGTAGCACTTAACCCCATTAATTTTTCTGACGTGGCAATAATAGTTTTTTCTTCCTTATTTCTTCATTCTTCTTATTCTTCTTCTTCCTCTCCCTCTTTCCTTCATTTATTCTTCTTCTTAATTAGGCGCGACTTGTCCCTGTTGAACTCAAACAAAAACCCCATCGAAAACTCCGTTTCTTTGCCAACCGACTACACCACACGAGAGCGTTTTCCCCAAGCTATATCAGGCGCAGACTGAAGAATAATAATCAAACATTAAGCACAAGTTGAAAGAACAAATTGCAGGAGAGGAAAAGACTTACCCTACATTAAAGTCATACTGCTTACTGCCATCATTGTTCAAATGCAACATGGAATGCCATGGTTCTTTTTAAATCATATCAAATATTTGTAAATAGATTTGTGCAATAAAACGAGTAGAGCTGTAAATGAGCAAAACTTACAAAAATGGCACTTTTCGTTACCACTTATGAAAAATAAACAAACACGTTGATAAACATAAAATAAAAATGTATGCAAACAACTCAAAACTTGTTCAAGAAGTAAAGACTACAAGAAGGGGGTGAGAGACAGTAATGAGCGATATGATAAAATACTGAAGTTTGAAGACAATATAATCATTTTGAGCACTCACCTCTTTAATGAAGTCAATATAGAGAAAAGCACCATGCTTAAACTGAGTTCCACCACCGGGAAATGTGAGGTACTCTCCAGTTACTTTAACCCAGTTCTGATGACCCTTAATTTGTGCCAACTGAGTATGGGGAACGTTACGATACCATATCTGCATCAGCAAGAACTCATTCGTTAATTCATCTCTTCAAACATAGAATTAAAGTGAAAAAAGTGAACCAACAAATGTGAAGTAAAAGTACATTCTCTTTGCATTTTGGCCACCCAATTGGGCTTTTTCGGTGGGGGTTTTTGTTTGAGTTCAACAGGTCGCGCCTAACTAAGAAGAAGAAGAAGAAGGAAGAAATAAGGAAGAAAAAGAAGAAGAAAAAACTATTATTGCCACGTTAAAAAAGTTAACGGGGTTAAGTGTCATGTCTGCCCTAACTAACTAACTAATTAACAGAAGGTTTGGTAATTCACCATCAAATTATTATTAATAGATATAGTAATATAATTAATTATCAATATTTTATTTATTTTATTAAATTAATTTTAATTTATATAAATTAATAATTGGGTAAACTATAAAAATGGTCACCAATGTTTGAGTAAAATTTTTGTTTCCTCCATTGAAGTTTCAAAAGTAACAAATCGGTTACTAACATTATCAATTTATAACAAATCGACTACTCGATGTTAATTGTCGTCACTGTGGGTGTCGGAAAGCTGACATAGCATGTTAACTGTTTATTTGACATTGTTTTACCATTATTTTGACCTATCGTTCTCTCCCGTTTCTACACTCTCTTCTCCATACTTATTTTTAACTTAAAACCCAACATTTTCGTTAGTTTTTCTTCTTCAATAATCATCTTCACTCTCTGTTACCAGAGAAAAAGAAGTGTTGCACGAATGGCTAAAAGAGCATCCGAATATGGACTGACTAACAACTTTTCATCTTTCCCGACGTTGCCGATTGTTTATGCACCGACGAGCCACCATTTGAGCTTCTTACAGTACACTATGATGTGTATAACAGCTCATGCAACCAACTTCTATTCATCCCCGAATTATCATCATCATTTATCCAACGAGTTCGGGTTGAATGGAGCGGCCAGGTTTAGTAATAATTGTTACCACCATCATCATGAAGCTGAAGAGGAGGAGCAAAGTTGGTTCAATTGGCAAAGGCTCTTAAGGTGCAACGAAGACTTCAGTACTCAGCATCTAGCGGCGGCAATTGACGATAATAATCAAGGCGTCGAAGGGGCTTGATCTATCTCTTCATTTATGAATTAAGGGAGAATAATGAGCAATTCTTTTTGTAAGAGTAATTGCTGTTGTTTTTTTTAAATTCTTTATTTCTTCTACTACATGCTTTTACAATAAAAAATATATATGATGATTTCAATATTTCTTTTGCAAATGATGTGCAAGAATCAAATGATACTTATCATTCGTTCAGATTAAGATAAAATTATGAATAGAAAATAATGGAATCAGATTGGTCTAGCATTGGACTTTTTGTTTTTAGGTCAGGCTTCTCTTTTCTATACCCATTTTACGATATGCTTTCAAGTTCGTGACATTTTTATAAACAAGAATCAACATAACAAACTAGCTAGATTTGATAGTGAGCGACAAAAACGTAAATCTTAGGGCAACTAAAATCTTGGAAAAGAGATTAATAATTGTGATTGTACGTGCTTACGTAAATAAAAAAAATATCCATAGGTTATTCATTAATCAAAGTAAAATCAGTTTCAATAAAGTATGATCAAAATAAAACTGATCGAGGAAAAAGAGAGCAATTAGGGAGCTTTGCACGAGACAAAGAGAGCTGTGGAATAGGCAACTTTCTTTTTGTTTTTTCTCGAAAGACAAATAAAAATGTTGAGTTTTGAGTTAAAAAAAAGTGCGGAGATGAGAGAGTGGAGATGAAGAGAATGATATATCAAAATAATGGTTAAACAGTGTCAAATCAACAGTTAATATGTCACATCGACTTTCCATCACCCACAGTAACGTCAGATAACGCCGAATGATCAATTTATTATTTTAAAATTTTAGTAGAAAAATGAAAATTTTCTCAAACAATAGTGACCATTTACGTAGTTTACCCTTAATAAATTTAATTCTTTTTATCTACAAATTCTATTATTTTAATTCTAGTTCAAAATTTTTACTTGATCGATCCTAACTAGGAAATAGAGTAGATAAATAATAGTACTTGGCCGGGCCCAGAACCAGGGTGGATATGTTTGAATGTCGACGCTGTTGTCTCTTCGACAACCGGCTTTGGTTCTATAGGCGGCCTACTCCGGGATCAAATTGGGACTTGGCTTTCAGGATTTTAGAAGCCAATTAGAATAGCGCCTGTTCTTCATGCCGAACTCTGGGCGATTCTCATTGGGCTCCAATTCACTCAGAACCAGGGTTTTGAATTTGTACAGGTTCATTCTGATTCTGCAGAAGCTGTAAAACTTTTGAATGATTCGAACGCAAGCCTTAGCTCTCTCTCTCTTGTAAGGTCCATTGTTGCTCTCAGACATGGCGGATGAGCTACGGATATCATTTGAGTTCCGCGCGGTTGCAATACGCATGTTGATATGCTCGCCAAAAGTTTTGTTCCTAGTACCCTGGAAATCGTACACTTACAGTCCCCTCCGATTGAAGTTCTACCTCTTCTGGAAATGGATGCCTCACATCTTCATTTGTAAAGTTTTTTTTAGCTTTATTATTCCACTTTTCAATTAAAAAAACATAAATCAACCAATCAAATGCATGCAAATATATAAGAAGAATAAATTACATAAATATAAAATTGCAAAAATTATGGTACTTTCCCTTGATTTTTTCTTGGCTTGCTTTATTGTGATTGTGCAGTCCGGTTACACTCGGGCTTAGTTTGTTTTTATTGTGCAACCTCTTTAAATCTCTTATGTCTGCACCGCGCAGATCACGCGCAGACATTAGGCTTCGCAGACCGTTTATTTTTTAGAAGACAGAAGTTTTTCGAACGTCTGCGCGAGCTCTTCTTGGTGCAGACATGATTTTATGTCTTCAAAGGTCTTCAAACCTCTTCAAGAACAATTATAAAATATGGTTATTTATTAAAATAATTTTAAATAATTTAATAAGGTTATTTATTTTAAAATAATTTATTTTAAATAATTTATTAGTATGGATTGATTTATTTTTAAAATATAGATTGATTTATTTTAAATCATTTATTAGTATGAATTGATTTATTTTAAAATATGGATTGATTTATTTTAAATAATTTATTAGTATGAATTGATTTATTTTAAATAATTTATTAGTATGGATTGATTTATTTTAAATATGGATTGATTTATTATTGTAGTTGTATGGATTGATTTATTTTAAATAATTTATTAGTATGAATTGATTTATTTTAAAATATGGATTGATTTATTTTAGATAATTTATTAGTATGAATTGATTTATTTTAAAATATAGATTGATTTATTATTGTAGTTGTATGGATTGATTTATTTTAAATAATTTATTAGTATGGATTGATTTATTTTAAAATATAGATTGATTTATTTTAAATAATTTATTATGTATTGTAAAACTAAAATTATTTAAAGCTCAGTATTGCAAAACTATTTTAAGTTTAAAAAATCAGTTTATTTATATTTCAGTTCATTTTAGCAGTCTGTAGACGTTAAAAAATAAACAGTCTTCTTCTTGCAGACTGCAGACTTTTGGTCCATCTCTTATGCTGCAGATGCCTGCAGACGTGATTCGCAGACTGCAAACCTTTTACCTCTGCAAAATCAAGCACCACCTCAGTTTTTGAGATTTTGGTGGTCCTGAGCGAACTAAAAAGTTAGGCCCCTAATCATAGGTTAAAATTATAATTTGTATTCGTGTCTTTGATCGTATTGTGTTTATCGTTATTGTGAACATAAAATATGATATTGTGGTCACTGCTAGTATCGAGGTTGTGGATTTTTAATAACATATATTATTATGGACATAATGATTGTTGCATTGCAGTTTTGGACGATGTCTTTACCACTGCATAACAATTATTATTGTGGTTACATACTGTTATTTAAATAATTATTCATAATAATAAGTGTTGAAAACAATGAATTTTAAGGGTAGCTTCATAATAATAAGTATTGAAAAAAATGAGTCTCAAATAATAAATATTAAAAAAAGTAAATTTTAAGAGTATGATTGTAATAAAAAATATTTAAAAATTGAACCTCCAATAAAATTAGTGAAAAATTGTATTCATAACAACAAATAAATATTAGAAAAAAATTTGAATTTTAAAAGTATGCCCCTAATAACAAATATTGAAAAAAAAATTGGACCCTTGATAATAAATATTGAAAAAATTGGGCCTTTAATAACAAATATTAGAAAAAGCAAAAAATTGAACACTTATACACACATTAAAAAAATAAATTATAAAAATAGACTTCTAATAATTAATACTCTAAACTTAGTCTCTTTGCTGGTTTATGAATTTGAAGGTCCGGATTATACTTTAAACATAGTGCTATATGAGGCCACTTTCGATTAATAATACATTATTTCTATGTTAAAAAATGATATATCTATGTGCAAAAAATTAAAATTTTAAATACATCGGACTAAAAAATGAAATTAAAAATTCAACATTATTACGAAAAACCAAAAATTTGAATAAATTAGTACTTATTCCCATATACGTTTCATTTTATTATATAATCAAAATTTTCTTTTACTAAAAAAAATAGAATGAAGTTTTCGAAAAAAAATCATTTATTTTTTGTAACTTTAATTTTATTATAATTTATTTTAAGAACGTAAAATATAAAATAAGTTATTGATAACTATCAATGGTTTTATAAAAATTAAATTTAGTGATAAGTAAATTTATCAAAATTAATCTTAATTACCAACGTATTTGAGTATTATTATTATTCAAATCACCTTAGGTGCTTAAATATCTTTTCGAAATTAATATTTTCTTATTTTTACAAAAATAGAGATTGCATGTTTCTTTAAATTGAATGGCCCAAAAACGGTGATAAGAGAAAGCCCAAATTTACAATCCCTAATGCGGAATTTAAATTAATTGAAACAAAGCCCTAATTTGCTTACTTGCTAGCTTCTTCTTCTCCTTCCAGCCGACAAATCGAGTTTTGGATTTTGGGAATTCGCGATTGGGTTTAGCAAAGTTTCAGAGAAAAAAGAATGACCGATTACGAAGAAGCGCTTTATCAAGGAAACGGAGGTAACCTCGAAAACATTCATGGCGGTGGTTCCTCACCTAAGTCTCGCTCCGATGATCAAAACGATTCTAAACACCAGGTTAGATCTCTAAAACTTTAGCTTAATATGCATCGCCAGATGTTTAATCGTTTCTTTTAAGTTATTGTTTTGAAAGAATTTGTACGTCTTGTTGGAATTCTTTCGACTGAAAACTTTGAATTTATTGCTGTTAGTTTAGCCCCCCACAAAATATTATGAATGTATAAGAAAATCAAATAGAACACATGCTTTTATTTTTAGACTGAACTACTGCTCAATTAGTGTTGCATCATTTAAAAAAAATTGCGATTATACTTTATGTCATTTGCCTTTCCTTTTCAATAAAATTCTTAAGCAGTAAATAGAAATTCGAAAAAAATTACAGAAAGTTAGCAATTGGAGCACTGAATTTTGCGTGTGTGTGTATACTGACTTTAATTGGGGGGTTTTCAAGGCTTTCTTTGAATTAGGGTATATATATACACCTGTCTTGAAATTTGGCTAGTCTGACAGCTAGCGTTATCTATTACATTTAATACTTAGTTTTGTTCTAACATAAACATCAGAAAATGAGCCATGTTTTATAAAATATAGAGTTTTTAAAACACATTGTGATTCAATTTTAAAACAACACGAGTTTCTCATAACTAAAATAACATATTGTGATTCAGTTTTATTGTTCCTGTTTTATTCCATATGATTGCGGACATAGGAGTAGTTGTAATTTTTTTTGGGTTGGACAATCCTATATGTTTATATCTCCATCTACCGTGTTTTGCAGGTGTTTGTTCTTATTTTATATCTTTAGTATGTAACATGTGATCAGATTTTCAATTATATTTTTCTCAATGAATTTGGCTAGTTTGACAAGTGGTATTCCCAACAAAATTTTATTGATCAGTTTTGTTCTGAGATATATGCAAGTAAATATGGGGTACAAACTTCTAGGTTTATTTTTTATAATGAGTAATAAGGTTTCTTCTTGCAAATTAACTTTCTTGATGCAGATTTTATGCCAGTTCTACATTTGGACTTTTTTATGAATTACATGCAATTTTGCATTGGGTCTTGTTGTAATATAAATTAAATGCTTCCTTAACTATTTCAAGTATGTGTTTCAGGATCATGAGAGAGAGTCCTCTAGAAGCAGGGAAAAGGAGACAGAGAAAGGGCGTGACAAGGAAAAGGGCAAGGATCGTGATCGTCACAGGGACAGGGATAGGGAACGAGAAAAGGATCGTGATCGTGAACGCCACAGAGACCGTCATAGGGATCGTAGTAGGGAACGCAGCGAGAGAAGGGATCGGGGAAGAGATAAGGATGATGATAATTATTATTACCGCAGTCGAGATTATGACAGGTAATTTCAGCTATAATATGATAATTCTGATAACCTTTTTTCTTCTTCTTGCTATTATCTTTATTGGTTAACGAATTTTTTTTGCTGAAATGTTATTTTACAGAAGAAGGGACTATGATACAGACAGGGAGGATAGGCATAGCCGGATGTCCCGATCCCACTCCAGGAGTATATCTGAGCGCAGATCAAAGTCAAGATCTCGATCTCGTTCACGCTCACGCTCAAAGAGGTAGATCATAAAGAACTTGATTATTAGTAAAAATTATATAGTTTCAGTTGTATATTCTGCTCCCTGACGTCCTGGTACCAAACATCATTCTTTTGCAGCAAAAGGATTAGTGGTTTTGACATGGCCCCTCCAGCTTCAGCAATGTTAGCTGCTGGTGCTGTGGCAGCGGCTGCTGCAGGTACATCTTCTGTTCATGACAACTAAGATTGGTGTACCTTGTTAACTATTATTTTTGTTTTTGGATGATCTAATGTTGGAAAGTTCATATCAAAATACTGGTCTGGTTTTGGTAAGCTGTATTTTTTCTTCTGTTCTGTTATATTACATTTTAAGCAGCGACCTTTGGAATGATATAATATTGTTTTAATTTTTCTTTATTTGGTGAATAATTCTGGAACTGAGAGGGTTTTGGTTTTGTCTTCTGTTTGGTGTTGTTTGTTTGTTTCTATGTTTCTATCTTTGTTTTTAAGAAGGCAATGGTGTGAGCCGACTTCTGTAGCTTTTATTTTTGTCTTCTGTAGCTTTTATGTATAAGGATGAATCAATGCACTGGTTTTGATGGTATTGTACGTCTTCAACTGGCAACTATTGTCTGTTTTGGTAGTCCTGCTAAATATTTTCTCCAGATTTAGCTTGCGAAGGATTCTTTTTTCAATCTCTAAATCTGTGAGAGGATTGCATATGTTATGGAAATTAGGCACAAAAGTGCTAATGCTAAATCCATTGCTATAGAATTGTGACTTCGATTTATAACTATACCCTCATATGAAAACTGAATTTCCTTTCAGGTCAGGTTCCTGGGACGACTAACCCAACCTTACCTGGAGTGTTTCCAAACATGTTTCCTCTCACAACTGGACAGGTATAAATTGTTCTCATGTGCCTGATATCCATGAGCTTGCTTTATATGCTGTAACTTTGTTTAACTTTGGTTTGATGCAGCCATTTGGTGCTCTCCCTGTTATGCCAGTTCAGGCAATGACTCAGCAGGTTTGATGGTTATGCATGTTATGTTGGGTGTACCTTTTTTAGAAAATGTTTTTCTACACTACAGAGTTTTTTTGTTTTATCTTGTGATTTCAGGCTACTAGGCATGCTCGTCGTGTCTATGTTGGAGGGCTTTCTCCTACTGCTAATGAACAGGTTCTACCTTTAACTGTTGTACCATTATTGCAGTTCGATTGAATAGAACCAACACTGACCCTTAATGCTTATTACAGTCTGTAGCAACCTTCTTCAGCCATGTCATGGCTGCAATTGGTGGAAATACTGCCGGTCCAGGTATACTAGGGTTTTTCCATGTATTACTGAGCTGCCATGCTTATTTTTCTTTTAATAACTGCTCATTGTTTTTCTTTGTTATATATTCAGGGGATGCTGTTGTTAATGTGTACATAAACCACGAAAAGAAGTTTGCTTTTGTAGAGATGAGATCTGTTGAGGAGGCTAGTAATGGAATGGCTTTAGATGGGATTATCTTCGAGGCATTTTTACATTCTTTTGGATCTGAAGTCAAATTCTTTTAATTGCTGTAAATTGTGTTGACTTGTTTACCTTTTAGGGGGCACCGGTGAAGGTGAGGAGACCTAGTGATTATAATCCTTCGCTTGCTGCCACTCTTGGTCCAAGCCAGCCGAATCCCAATCTTAATCTAGCTGCTGTAGGTCTAACACCAGGTTCTGCTGGTGGGCTTGAGGGCCCTGACCGTATATTTGTTGGTGGGCTTCCCTATTACTTTACAGAAGCACAGATCAGGGAGCTTTTGGAATCTTTTGGGCCTCTTCGAGGTTTTGATCTGGTAAAAGATAGAGAAACCGGAAACTCTAAAGGCTATGCATTTTGTGTTTATCAAGATCTGTCAGTTACAGATATAGCTTGCGCTGCTCTAAATGGAATTAAAATGGGTGATAAAACGCTCACTGTTAGACGAGCAAACCAGGGTGCTACCGAGCCTAAACCCGAGCAAGAGAGTATACTCCAGCATGCACAGCAGCAGATTGCTTTGCAGGTTAAGATTAAAATTCTGTTATTAAAATCATATGCCATCATATCTCTTGCAATTTTGGTTTTATTAGGTATGGCTTGTTGGCTAGTTTGCTTATTCTTTTTTGTTTTTCAGAGGCTTATTTTGCAACCACAAGGCGTGCAAACGAAGGTTGTGTGTTTGACTCAAGCACTTAATGTCGATGATCTTAGGGATGATGATGAGTATGAAGACATCGTGGAAGATATGAGACAAGAGGGTGGAAAATACGGTAAGATCCTTCTTAAACAATCTGATGCCTCTATTTTAACATTGGACGTCTCTTTGTTTTTATTAATTTTCTTTTATTTTCTCTTGTTTTATATTTCTGTTTTACAGCACATTCTTGTTCTACATTCTGCTATAAAGAATCAAGCCTAACATACTCAGACAGAAGACTTGCTAACCCTCTACTTATATATATTTGATGGCACTGCTTTCTCTAACTTGTGTTCTTTGGAATAAAAATTGTTTTATTTTCCCTCTGTGGAATCGAAATTTTTACACGAAATATGCAGGTGCATTGGTGAATGTTGTCATTCCACGCCCAAATCCAAAAGGAGAACCCACCCCGGGTGTCGGGAAGGTCAGTTTTGATGATTTTTACATGTTCTTCAATTGCCTTCCTATTCATTATTCTTAACCCCATTTTAATACTTGTTGGACACAATCATATTCAACAAAGTTTGTTCCCAAGTTGCTCCATGTATTACCCCCTGATGTTACTGACTGTAATTGTCCGGTGCAATTAGGTATTTCTGGAGTACTCGGACGTCGAAGGTTCCAAAAAAGCACAAGCTGCAATGAACGGTCGGAAATTTGGGGGAAACCAAGTAATTGCCGTGTACTATCCGGAGAACAAGTTTGCACAGGGGGAATATGATGGCTAACTATGTAAAAAGGAGATAAAAAATCATCATAGCATTGTACCTGTATTGATTCTATGTTTAGGTCTCTTTTCATTATGTGGCAACCTGTCATTGAGCAAAAGATATTGGGACACGACACGTTTAGATTAACCTGTTTGTTTAGTTCATGATTTTGATTGAATCTTTTCTTGGGGTTTTGATTCATAGGATTCATTAATCTAGTAGTGTTAAAGTGGCTCAATCATAAGGCATTGTTGGGTTGCATGCGTTTTGTACGTGTTTATCTAGCTTTCCTCCATACTGAACTGAACTTGCATGTTTATTCGGTACTCCTCTGGCCTGATATCTTTCGATGACGTTACTCCTCATTCATCTGCTACCATTCTTTACTTGGTATGGTATTTGTATTTCACTTTCATGCTCCGTTGGCTCTTGTTCTATTTCGGTATAGTCTTTGGTGTGATAGAGTTTGGGATATTAACTTAAAATTTTTAGAAAGTTAAAAGAGGTTTAAATTAAAATTTTCAAAATTTTTGAAGGGTTAATTTATATTTTTTTTCAAAATGTTAGGGTCTAATTAATACTCGATTTGAAAAGTTGGTGAACTATTAAAAAAAAATAATATATTAAATTTTTTAATTTTTTAAATTGAACTATTAATAATGTTAACATTTATATGTTATTTTTAAAAAAAATACAATATAAAATTTTTATGTACTTATGATTGAAATCTGAGTTTGAGTCAAGCTTCAATTTTTTATAATAAGGGGAGTTTGAAAATTTTAAGCTCGCAAGATTTAAGTCAAGTTTCGTTTTTTTATTTCGAGTTTGAGTTAAACTTGATAATTTTAAGTTAATTTTAAGCTTGCAAGTTTTCGAGTCAAGTCAAGTTTAATTCTAAAATTTTCGAATCAAGTTGACCTTTATAATACTCAAGCTCGACTTCGTTTGATTACGGCCCTACCTAACTGGTTGGGCCCACTAGGTCGGTTTATTGAACAAGGACTTGGTTATTTGGCCACAAGAGTTGATCCAATGTGTCGGGAGTGGTCTTGCAGAAGAAAACGGAGGATATAACAAGAAGCAATATTACTTGACTAATCATTTTTCTCAAGTAAAATACCCCAACATTTAACAGCTCTCAACCTCTCCTTACCTCATTTCTCACACCACGTTTCCCCTTCTAAGGCTCCTGGGCCACCATCAAACTCTTTTGGTTCACCCTGCCCGCACAAGAGATACGTAAACCATAACCACATCAATCCTAACAACAGATAATAGAAGATAGAAAACCAAGAAAATCTGCATTCTCAACAAACATCCATTTGCAGCTAACTAGGATATTATTGGTCATCTTCCCATTAATTGTTTTGTGGCTTAATGTATCTATTTATAAACAGAAACGGAATCAGTATTTCATCAATTATATGTTCATAGTTTGATTCCTCCTCTATCCTATTTGCAGCTAACTAGGATCGGCATATTTCCATTTTTTTTTCACTTTGCCTGCAGCTTAGTTAAGTTTTTTTCAAGAATCCCCGCTTCATATATCCGTCACTGACTGTTAACAAGGGTTTCACATGATGACCCCTGTTCCCTTTCCGGTCCCCAAATCCCTACCCTCCAGTCTTATCAATCCTCAAACTCTGGAGTCTCCTCCCAGATGAAGTAAAATGTGCCACTACAGCAATAGCAACAACAGACAGAAGTCGCAAAAGCAAAGGAAAAGACCGAGATCATTAGAAACAAGTACAGATGAACAGGCACCCACACCCTGTAAAACTGCTTTCTCAAGCAAGCAAACATCCAAAAGTGATGCCATTTTGAATATGAAAGCAGAAGAAAGGACAATTGCCCAACACCAAAACTGTTTGTTTCGTGGATTAATGCACATGTAAAAAAAACGAAATCAATATTTCACTACCATTTATAATCCGATCCCCGATTATCCTATCAATGGTGATAGTATCCGTTCCCTATCAAATTAGAGTTACATACTTATCATGTGTATCAATGAAACAAATAACTATAAAATAATAATAAACTAAAAATAATATTTTAACTTAACCTTAATTCCTAATAAAATATAAAATATAATCCTAAAAGATAATGCATCATCCTATGTTAAATTATATTACAAATAATCAAATAAAAATATTGAAAATTCGTAATATTTACTAAAATGACCATATCTTGAGTTCCCGACATCATATTGATGCAATTCAAGAACCTTTGGAAAGATAAGATATAGAAGGTCGTATCTCCAGAAGACATGTTGACCAAATAAGATCAGGATCTCATTCAAAAAGTCATCGCAAGTCTGATGTTGTTCTGGTATTCTTTTCCAAGGCTTGGACGAGTGAATCATTTGGAAGAGTTATTACTTCTTCCTTTGATGTGAGCCTTGTGATACATGTATCAATAATCTTTTTTGAAATCACAAAAATGATCGGTTACCGACCCAGAACTACTAACCCAGATTTTGGGATGTTATATGTACTATATGCAATTACTAAATGAGCTGGCTAGTGGCACATGTCATGAACATGCAAAAAACTGATATAGACTACTGAGTAGATATCATGATGCAACTGAGGGTTCTACATCTCGGAGCTCACACACTCCTCTAGCCTTTCTGATATACCCGCAGGTATCTAGGGTAAGATCCAAAGTTGCATCGAAAATGTACATCTTCCAACTTACTCCGTCGAGTCTTGGGGCATCTCGGCCCAAACAACTACTAAAGTGTCTTGGCACATACTCGATATCCAACTGAATGTTGTATTCTACTAAAGAGACTCGGTGTCTTGACTGTTTCTCGAGTGTCAAACAAGATTAGTTTTATGTAATTCTAGTTGTTACTATTTCTAACTGTTATGATATTAATTATTATTCTCACTTGTAGTTTTGTCTATTGTTATATTGATGTATTTGGGCCCCATATAGTCTAATCCCTTAAGCATTAGATTACTTATCCAAAAATGTATGTGGGTTCTGATACTGATCCTTCAGTATCGATATTGAACCTTGAGTATCGATACTCACATGTTGGTATTGATACTTGTTGACTGATATGAGCTGATTGGGTAAGGTGGTATCGATACTCATGGATGAGTATTAATACTCTGATAATGAGGTATCGATACTGGTCTGAGTATCGATACCAAAATTAGGTTCAATGTTTTGAAAAATAACTTAGTATTGAAACTCCTATTGAAGTATCAATACTCTACCTTAAGTATCGATACTCCCCTTGAGTACCGATATCAAAAATGGATATTGGAATCTGATTTGGGTCCCCAGTATCGGTACCACCCTATGAGTATCGAAACTGACCCTACAATATTGATACTTTTGTATGAGTATCAATACTTCCTAAAATTATGTTATTTTTACCTTGGTTGAAGAACATTATAGGTACTGTTCTTCTAGTACCAATACTCCTACTCGAAATTGCTATGTTATGGCCAAGAAAGATGCCAACTTTATCCCCAAAATGTCCTATTGAGGTTCTCAATTGTTATTAGAGTGTTATGTTTGATAAAAAGGGTAATAAAAAAGTCTATAAACATGCTAGAAACACCCTAACACTGAAATCTACCATGAACATGATTCATGCTTATGCAACTTACCAAAACTTACTTAATAAGCTACATGTAGTATAGGTGAGTTACTGTTGAGTTAATCGATTGATGGAATCGGCCAAGAGGGGGGGTGAATTGACAATAAAAATTTTGGTGGAAGCTTTTGCAGAAAATTGAAAGTAATTGCACAGCGATTTAGAGTGGTTCAACTTTATCAACCAAAGTCTACGTCCACTACCTTAGCTATCCACACTAAGGATTTTCCAACAAATTCACTAATTTGTTCTTTCTTTTGATGCCAAAGAGATAACCTTACAACTCCCTCAAGAATATACCCCAATTCTTGAGAACGCTCTTTTCTCAAAGAGAAGATTACAAATTTGCAAACTTACAAGAAAAAACCTCACAAGGCAAATATGTTTTCACAATTCTAGAACAAAGAAAGAACACTCAAGAATGAATACAATTGAACACAATAAGTGTTCTTGAAAGCAAAATGAATATTGAATGAAAAATAGGCTTGAAATGCTCAAACTTGAGGTTTGATGCTTTCTCTTTGATTCTCTCTTGATTCTAGTTACTTGTTGTTTCTTGTTGTTGATCAATGGCTTCTAAGCTTGTTTAAATACACCTTGAATCACTTATGAACGTTGGGGATGATTAGTGGAGTCAATAGAGCCGTTTAAGTGTGAAAACAATTAATTAAAGCAGTTTAGAGCGTCAGTGCATCGATGCATACCCATGGTGCATCGATGCATCAGTGTAAAATTCAAATATTTTGACCGTTTGACCCTTAGTGCATCGGTGCACTAAGAGTGCATCGATGCATCAATTGCATTCGATGTTTCAAAATAGCCAGAGTGTATCAATGCATGGCTGGTGCATCAATGCATTAAATGCATTCGATGTTTTCATAAAATCCTCAGTGCATCGGTGCATGGTATGTGCATCGATGCATGAAATGCATTCGATGTTCAATTTAATTCATGGTGCATCGATGCATGGATTGGTGCATCGGTGCATCACTCTAAAAAATTGATTTTAGACTTGATTTTGGTTCAAAATACTTTGTGAAAATTATTTCAAAAAAAATATATTAAGTATAAAACATAATTTTACACATTTAGTAAGGTTTGAAATTGATCTTAAAAGACTTGGAGTAATAATTTGATATTCGATTAATTGAATCAAATATACTTTAGAAAATCATTTTTAAAATCTTAAAATTCATTTAAACTAATTTGTTATATCGAAACAAAAATGTTTTCAACAATCTCCCCCTTTTTGATATAACAAAACTCTTGAGTAATTTTAAGATTTTCTTTGAAAAA